TTGTTTTCATACATTTTTATATTTTCTAAATTCAAATGTCACATATAAAATTTTGGAGAATTTTTTGTTTGAGTGTCCCCAAATTTGTTTCTTGTTTTGTACGCTAATTAGAACCATGGGGAAAGAAATTCACATTGCATTATGTAGATAACAAAATTTACATCCTGCTGCATATATAAAAACTAGACAATTTTTTACTTTTCATTCATCATTTTCAATATTACTAAAAAAGTTTGAAAATTTTATAAATATTTTCAAGCTGTCAAAATTAATTTATTTTCGATAAATGCTCTCAGTTGTTAGGGATGGGACAAATTTCTTGGTGATTCAGAGAGTGATTCGAACTGAACAACGTACAAAAGTCGGTGTTCGCTCAGACAATTTTGTATGGGGAACTAAGTAATTACTTCCTAATTAAGGGTCGAACAACGAATGAGAGAGCGAACAACGCTCGTCTGTACATGGCATAAGAAATTAAATTTTGGGTTTCTATTTAATTCGAACATACAGTAATTCAAGAATGCGCATTTATTTTTCAGTGAAAATCTCAACAACTCTTGAAGATATAGCCGATTGATTGTGCAGGCATCAAAGGCAGGAGTGGTTCCCAAACTTTAACCCTTTGTGGCCCAATGTTACCCATAGGCATCAAAATGTTTTAGAGCTTATATTTAATACGCAGCTAGTAAATATATATATTTTTGGATAACATATGTGAAGATCGGATAATGGAAGGTATATATCGAAAGAAAAATCCAAAAAAAATAAATTTTTATCAAGTTTTAAGCTTTTCAATATAGAGTAGAGGGTAAAATGTGTACAGTACCATTTTGTGTATACAGTCTAAATTATTTATATCGATTCATATTCAAATTGTACGAATTGTGCCTTCAGAATTATTTTTGATTTTTTATAAAACAGCTTAAAGAATAATTTAAAGTGATTTTTCGTCGACATAACATTTGGTTTTATTGAATTAGACTTTTATTTTTCAGAAATAATATACTGTATATCTCGAATTCAAACCTTTATAGCCCAATGATGCCCACAGACATTAAAATATTTTAAAGTTTATATTTCATATGTAGCTAGTAGGTATATATTCATTGGATTTCATATGTCAAAACCTGATCGTGGACAACACATACCAAAACAAAAATCTAAAAAAAATCAAATTTTTGCTTAAGTTATGAGTTTTTCAGTTTTTTTTTTTACTGTACAAAAATGTGTACAGTACTAATTTATGTATACAGTCCAAATTATTTAAATCGCTTCGTATTCCAATTGTACAAATTTTTCCATCAGAACTATTATTGAGTATTGTAAAAATAAATAAGAAGAATATTTTAAAATGATTTTTCCGTCGATTTTGCATTTGGTTTTCTTGATATTATACTTTTATTTTTCAGAAAGAATGTACGGTATCTCCCGAATGCAAGGATGAAGGGGTGTCAAATTTCGTGCATATCCTATTTAGGATAGTTGCATTAAATCTCTGAAAAAATCGGTTCACAAAGGATTAAGGATTTAAAGACGTCAAATTTTGTGCATATCCTATTTAGATTGGTTAATTGCATTAAATCTGTGCACAGAAAATCGTTCTATGGAATAGGAAAAAAATCGGGGCTCAAAACAATCATAGACATTTTTAAATTGAGAATTGAGATTTTTTACCCAAACTCGCCAAAATATAGAAATTCTTGGAATCTTGCGTCATATGGCGCTACCATAAATAGTGCACCAATATTGATAATTTTTGTAGGAAGATTTTCTAACCAGTGATAAAAAGCTTCAAAACGCCGAATGTGTACCGTTATAAGGGTACATACGGAATATTTGAGTGTATGTATCTATACGGGGCCTACCCTAAAAATTGAACCGATATAAACTTTAAGTGGGATAAAAAAAACTTCTTGGAAAAAACAGTCGCATCAGTTGAACTTAACACTTGTTAGAATATAATCGGACTACAGTGAACTTACTTAAAATTTCCCGTTCATATTTCGAGTCCAGGAAATCCCTGGTTATATATATTTAAATGTTCCATAAAATTCCACTAGGTTATAGGCGGGTCATTGGGTTTTGGTATCATCTAGATTCTATTTGATTCTATTATCCGAATTCTGAAGATACGGACTGGAGACCCGATACAGTATATGTGTTATTATCGATTTATGTGGGTCCATCTAAATCTCGTTAGGGATCCCAATATTTAAAATAGGGCTTTGAAATTTTAAACTGGCATTGATATTACTGGATGGTATTGCAAATGGTGTACATCGGTCCACGTTTTGATATTGACACCATATAACGGTACACTCAAATAGTCTGTATAATGGGCATTTTGAACACGTTTTTCAACAGAATTGACTGTAATTTGCTACGGTTGGTTCTCGTTGAATATCAAATCTTCCCACCGAAAATGATCAATATTGGTCCAGTTTTTAGGAAATCCCCCATATAACGCTATATCCCAAATTTGATAATTTTTTGAGAAGCTTGGAAACCTGTTTCAACCCAATCAGCTGTTATTTTATATTTTTGAATCTCATTAATTAGTTAATCTTCTCACCAAAAATGTTCAATATTGGCCCATGTTTCCGAGTAGCCCCCATATAATGATACACCGTTTATTCGATATTTTGGGAAGTTTGAGAATGTTTTCCAACCACATTCGATCTAATTTGATTTATCAAATTCCTATGGTATGTTAAATCTTCCTACCAAATATTATCATGGTCAGTTTCCAGTTTTGTATAGCTTCCAAAGAATGGGACCATCCCATTTTCGGCATTTTGAAGACTTTAGCCGCATTTTCCAACCTTTGGCGCTGTAATTTGGTATAAAGGGCTATTGAAGGCTGATTTACATACACATTTGTGCGTTGTATATATAGATCCAAGTTTTGATTTAACCCTACCTAAGAGTTCCGTCTCTTTTCTTTTAATAAATTTTTAAAAGAATTGTTCATGGGAGTGGATATAACTCGACATATCGGATACCTGGTGAATAAAAAATAATTAAAAATGTCCCATTTAAGTTTTCCAACTAGAGTGTTTGTAATTTGGAACCACGGAGCATGAAGATCCTGCTATCAAAGCACCATAACATAGACCGACGATCGACTTAAGAAATTTTGAATGCACCCACGTGTTGGAGGGTATAAAAAGTTCGAACTTAACAATGTTTTTACTTGCTTTGAATTTTTCCCTTGCTAAAATCAGTATTATTGGCATGACACGAAATTGTAGACAGAGTAGTTAGTGTTATCAACAATGAATGAATAGTTTATTTGTTTAATAAAACCATACAAATATTTAAAGACTTACATAGTTAATGAAAATGTGAACAAATTTACTAGATAATCCGAAAAAAATGGCAATCCAAATTGGGGTCTGCAATTAATTGTCCGAACTAGCATGATTGATCTGTGGCAACAGACTGCAGCAAGTTCAATTTATTTCAAATTTTATTGTCATTATTTAAACGCATGATGTCGTTCAATTTTCCGATCATTTTTTCTATCTATCGACTTTCATAATTTTGCCCCTGTCCACTCGCAACGCCACCTTGCATTTTGAACTTTGAAATTGCTATTGCCTCTGAGCGTAATCGATTCACTGTGCAGCATTTGCAATGGCAACAATGGTTGGTTAACTTGTTGCCATGTTAGTCGAGTCGGTGGGTCGAACGATTGATCGGTCGATCAGTGAGACCGTCGATCGGTCATACGTCGCACCGTTAAGCAACCAGAGCAACAGCAACAAAATGCTGAAATTAAACCAAAAATACACCACAATGCGAGTAATCGGCGGGGCTACCACAACACGATGAATACGACGACGACAACCAAACGACAACAAATGAGTTAGTATGGATCGCCTGGCACATTGTTATTGTTTTCTTTCTGTTTTCATTTTGGAGACGATTGTATAGGGGCAACAACAACAACAGCAGCGGCTATGGCAAGCTCTACAATCGACAACGATGATGACAACAGTAACAACAACCACGGAGACGACGACAATGGCAATGACGTTGGAGCATGCCACACATACTAAGGCCAGTCAGCCAACAAACCAGCCAGCCATCAAGCCAAACAACAACCAACCAGTCAGCCAGCCAGCAACAACAACGACAAGGAACCGCATCACACCACACCGCCGCACCGCACCGTACCAGCAGCAGCAAGCTGTCGCAGCACACATACGGCACAACACAGTAACAACATTAGCAGGCACCACTACCACAAGCAGCGGCAGCAGCAACGTTGGCGGTGTGTTAAATAAAAAAACATATGAAATTAGTACAATTCGTGATTTCAACGGTGAACGACGACGAAACGGTACGTATGTGCGCGCTCGAATGTGTTAAACAACAATCAAGTTGCGGCTGCTGCAAAACCAATAACAAACAACAAAAGCAACCCACCAAGCACCACAACACACACCCCGCCACCAAACAGCCAGCAACAACAACAGCACCACCAACAAGAGAGAAAAAAACCCGAAATACAGCATCAGTCAGTCAGTATCATCATCTTCGGGCAAGCCACAACTGAAGAAACCCAAAACCAGTTAAGATCGACGTAAATTTTTGGCCAACAGCCACCACATCCACAACCACCAGCAAAGCAACGAGCCAAAAATAAGAAACAAACATCATCTGTTTTGTCCCCCAGCCAGTTCCAGCCAGTCATCCTGCCTGTCCCCCATACACCAAATAATAAAGGAGACGGCAACGAGTGAGGAGGGAACAACGCACAACAGGGAAGTAGGAAGGTTTTCAACACTTGTTGGGAAGCCACAGCCAACCTGTTGCTCACATGAACAGGCTAGGTCGAGAAAAACAACAAGCTGTATCCCATACTACTTCTTAACGCACCCCGTCCGCCCGTCCCCCCCTTTCCACTTTCAGCTGTTACCTTTGTCAAACAGCAACCACCCACCCCTGTACTTCGGCCATAAACGATCTCTATCAACTCCACCACCCGCTTCAATATGTACAACAAAGGCAACAGCAATTCTAGTTCTTCCGCAACAACAACGGCTACCTCGACCACAACGGCCACCAGCTCCTCCGCCGTCCCCGCAACAATCAACAACAGTTCGTCGGTGACGGGACCTAATGATCGCATTGAATGGTCACGTGCCACTATTTTGGGATTTATCGAAGACTATCGTCGACAAAGAGTTCTCTGGGACCCCAACACCAAGGGCTACCACATCAAACAGACCAAATATGAGGCTCTCAAAGCGTTGGGCCAGAAATACGGTGCCGAGATTCGTTCAATTCGATCCAAAATCAAAAGCCTTCGTTCCTCCTTCCATCGGGAGCATGGCAAGGTTATTAATGGCCGCCGCAAGGGTCTGAACTATCAGCCCATGTGGTTTGCCTACGATGCCATACGTTTTATTTTGGATGGTGAAACGGGAGACTCGGACGAAGCCGATGGAGTACCGAAAAACGACAATCTGGATAGCACAAGTGAAAGCAACCTGAACAACAACAACAGTCTCACGAATAACAACAACAGCAGCATTAACAGCCTAATGGGCTGGAGTGGTCATGCGACCGATGAGGAACAACTATTGGAGGAGCGTAAAATTTCTAGTCGTGACATTGAGCATTTCAATAATCATTTCTTGGCACTGGGCTTGCAAGCTCGTCATCCCATGGCAGTGTTGGCGGCAGTGGAAGCAGCAGCAGCGGCCTCTGCTCTCTCTGCGGCAGCTCAAGAGAAACGTCAAGAGCAAGATTATGCTCTACTCAAGCAACAACAACAGCTGCTACAGCAACAACATAAACACAAGTCTGATAACGACGATGACAATAGCGAAAATGGCCATAAACATGACAGCTCTCCGTCTCCATCGCCGCTAAAAATTATCGAATTATCCACCATCAGCAATAATAATAGCAACAACAACAACGGCAGTAGCAATGTCAACATTATGTCGTCTTCTAGCAATGCGAACACCTCCGCCGCCTCCTCCTCCAACACCGCTGCTGCAACGCTCAATCCAATTTCGAAACCCTTTGCAAGTCCAAAACCTTCGTCACCATTAGCTGGAGCTCCAACAACAATAGCAACAAAAACCACAAGTGCCACGGCCATCACACCACCACCTCAAACCTTGCAGCCACCAGCGCAATCTCAACAACAACAACAGCACCACCACCAGCTATCCTCAACGACATCGTCGTCGTCGGTGACGGTGACAGCGGCCACTACGTGCTCCCCAGAAAATTATAATGTTTTACACGGATCACGTAGCTTAGATGAAAATTCAGCCATTGCTATTGGCAACAATGCTGCTGCCGCCGCGACTGCAATTTCCAGTCTTCCGATAACGGCTGTGGTAAGTAAAGCATACACAAACTCACACATACACACTCACCCGAACCCCAAAGCACACACTCTCCGCCGAACAGTCATAGTAAAACAAGGCAATAGCAACAACAACAGCACCAGCAATAAAGTTAAAGAAAAAAATAATACAAAATAGTCGTAGTATATTTGGTAGTCAGTCTTGTCGTCGTAGTCGTCGTCATTGTCGTCGTCGTTGTTTTGTTTTCCTTTTCATATCTTTTTTTGTTTTGTTTGGTTTGGCTTATGACTACATATGATCGGTACACTCAAGGAAAAATGTTAGTCAACTGAATTAAAGGTTCATTAAATGGTGAACACTGCTAATGATTTTAGAATCATGGTTTTTAGGCTTGAAAATATGCTGAATATACAAATGGCAGACTTTAAGTTGGATTTAAATATTTTGTCACGGCGAGAAATTACGGGGTCAGAAAATATAAAGTATTATTCGATCGAGTGACTGTGGCACAGTCTTGTTGAAACCACATATTTTCCTATTCGCACCAAACAGTGACTTTTTCTGTACTCTCTTCAATTATTATCTTCAAGTATTCTCGGAACCCTACATACGATAATTTGTATCAACTTTACTATGACAGATATCGAAGTCCAGTCTCATTCATTTGAAACCACGAAATGGATAACTCCACTACGTGGAGTGCATTCGAAATTCCGTAAGTTGTTGTGGTGTCGTGTGATAGTAAGATGTTCATGCTCAAAAAAACTACATAAATTATAGTTGGAAAAATTAAACGGTATTTTATTCAAATTATAGCCCCTTTCCATGAGGAAATTTTGTTAAAAATGTATTAATACCGAAAAAGAAGTGGAATTTCTATGTGGGGTTATATCAAAACTTGGACCTATATATATCCCGCACATATACCTTCCAGAAGGCTTCATACTATATTACAGCCCCATCGATGATCATACCGTTTTATGGTATCTATACCAAACCGTAAACTGACATTGATACTTTTTGGTAGGAAGATTTGACACCCCATAAGAATTTGACAAAAACGAGTGTCTCTAATTTGATTTGTGAACCATTATATGGGGGATACCCGGAAACATGAGTCAATTGGTCTGTTCCAGTACTTTTTTAATAGTAAAGCTAGTAAAAGGAAAACATTTCCAAATCGCTATCTGAGTAAAAAATAATTTGAAATGTTCGGGAACGCAAATATAGTAAATATGCCAAAATTAGATGGCAATACTTCAAAATCAACACAACAGCCAATCAGAAGTAGGCATTCCTGTTTACCATTTTTACTCGGCAAAATTTCTCGAGTAACAAGTTTACAAAGAGAACGCCATTTTGTTTTGAGCTCTCTTAAATTTGATTCAATGTTTTACTAGATTTGTAGGTTCAGGAACCGTTTTCGAGTAAAAAGTTGCAAAACTTGTAACATTAGTTGTTGTTGTTGTTGTAGCAGCCCTATTGCTTTTACACAATGGGCTGAGGTGACAGACGTTGGCCGAGTAAGACTCGGGTCGTTTCGGATCGTAGACCCCTCTGTCGAGGAAACGTGTAACATTAGTAGATTCTTTTGGGTTCTGGAACGGAACTAATATTGATCATTTTTAGTAGGATTTCCTAAAAAGTGAACCAATATTGATCATGTTTTGTAGGAAGATTCGACATGCCATGAGTACTTATAACATCAAATTAGAGCCAATTGAGTTAAAAAAAGTACCCAAAACCCCTTAAATACCGAATACTTGATACTATTAGATAGGTGCTTCCCGGAAACATGGGCCAATGTTGATAATTTTTGGTAGGGTCATTTTCTACTCCATGATAATGCAAAATATTAAATTGCTCCCAAATCGGTGGAAACTCTAGTTCCGCAAAATACCGACCATAGGGATGTAGCGTTATATGGGGGCTTCCCTAAAAGGTAGACCAATATTCTTAATTTTTAGTAAGACTCAAAACCATCAAAATACCGAATATTGAGGGTACCGTTATATGGGGACTACCAAAATACCGAATAATGGGGTAACCGTTATATAGGGGTTACCCATCACCCAAATGTAGCAAATTACCTCCATTACGGCTGAAGAACGTGCCAAAAATCCCCATATACGCCATTTGCAATACCAAGCGAAGAGTAATACCAATGCCAGCGCAAAATTTAAAAGCTTTATTTCAAATATTGCGATCTTTATCGCTATTTCAACATCCACATCGAATTTTATTGTGATCAAGAATATATATATTTTATGGGGTCTCCAGTGAATATTTAGATGTGTTGCAAATAGCATGACAATGTTAATATACGCTCCATCTTATGGTGGAGAGTATAATGAAGTGGACGAATAGATCCGAAATGTTTAAAAAATGTTGTATAATATTAACTATTGCTAGAAATATTAGCAATTGAAATACTTGACAATGATGGTACCTTTAAAGGCGTAGTATTTGTAAACACTTCAGAAAGCAATCTGGGAATAACACTTTTCATTTAATCGCACACTATGTTTGTGATCGATTTATGGAAACAGACCGATTACATCAATTTTGTTGTTCATCTCTTCATTTTATTAACGTTTACCCATTATGCGCGATGTATGTAGTAGAAAGGGGTCTCGATATGCTCAACATTCGGACTTGTTTTCGATTTGGTAAATATTATATTTGGTCATATAATTTTTTTTCTATTTGTCAAAATGTTAAATATTTGTGATGGAGGTACCAGAAGCCATCGACTGGTAGGCTTTGAACAAGGTGTATGTGACAATCATATGGTTTCAAACTTTTTTCTTGATTGTTTGTAAAGTAAATTGTCAAAAACATTTTCAATACTACATTTCGATTTCCAAAATGGTCTTTAAATGTAGGCTTTTTTAATAATAAAAATTCATGAAAACTACATTCATAGCGGCGGACGGAAAGGAAGTCTAGGCTTAAATCAGTTATAACCCCGTTCGCCGATTGGTCCACATATTTAATGTTATGTGTGGAAATCTGATCATAAGTCCCAGCTACTCATAAAATCGAGGAGATTATGTTAGCCTATATAGGAATGGGCCCTTGGTGCTTGTCCCAATCCTCGGCGGAGGTTAAATACGCCTATGGAAAGATTTTATACGGTCAACACAATTTCCATGATTTAGTCTTTGGCCGGGGATTTATGTCCTTCAATATTCTTTACTTAAACTTAAAATTAACCGCGTCCAGGTCTTAAACATTATTTTTCACTGACCAAAAGGAATGGACCGATTAGACCCCATCTTCGAACTAAATAAAAGTTTTAAATGAATATGAAGACGCGGAACGTATGAATAAACTCTGTTAAATCTAGTAACTAACTTATTTTTTCATATAATTTTCAGAATTTTGTTACACAGTGAACTGTTTTTTTGTGTACAGTCTATTAGATAAGTCAGATTATTTGACCTTCTTTTGGAAGTTTGTTACTCTAACATGAGATAAGGTTTCCCAATGCTACATGTGGTATGAATGTGTTAGATTACGAGATGTCATATACGCTTCAAACTGATAAGCATGCCACATAAAAGATAAATATGTGTTTGTCCATTCCATGAGTTTTATGGCAGATATGTTCAATGTTCCATCCATATTGCCGGCAACCAAAACATTTCAAAACCTAATTTTATTATTGAAAATATTAAAACTGGAGCGGTTAGGAACTTTTTGATGTTCAATTTTGGATAGGTACTTAGTTAAATTAATAGTATTTTAGTGTACTTATTAAACATTCTTCCAAATTATATCACAATTTTTTCATTCTTTTTTCTATGATGAAAATAGTACATTTCTACATAAGTACGCAAGACACTCGTCCTACGTAGCTTAGATTTTTTCGCCATTCAAGTTTAAGTCATTCAATATTTACACCAATAGATTAAGCTTCAGTGTATTTTATACAGAAACTGGTGATTCGATTAAAACTTTAACATATCCATTATTATCCCGCTTAAGAGCACTTCCTTAGTGGGATAGTATGAATTTTTTTCACAGTCAATCGATGATCTCGATGAGAATCCATATTATATAAATAAATGTTGAGAAGTACTCTAAACCACATATAACTTTTATTTTCGATTGTTGGGTCAATTGCATTTCAAGTTCCACCTGTGATCTTTCTTATTGTTTTTTTTCGAGTGTACAACATGTTTTTTTATACTTTGTACACATAGAGAAAGCACACATTCGTACATACACCATTAGTTAGCATACATATAACATGGAGGCACTGGCTGGCTGGATTGTTTTTGTTGCACTGTATTTACTCATTTGCAACTCAAACCGTCGAACAGCACAAATTCTGTGAAAAAAGTTGTTTGTCTAGTTTCTCTCTCTCGCTGTGGCTGTTTGTTTTGCGTTTTCATTTCTGGTCCGTTCGTACGCCCGCCCGCTCGCCCCACTGAGTTGTGTTAATTTGGCCTTTGAATATTTTGTTTCGAAGATACTTTGACAGTTGCTGCACACACATATTATTAAGATCGTCGTAATTTTTGTTGTTGCTCATGTTGACGACAGTGGGACAACCAGTGGCATACGATGCGTTATCAAATTTGTAGCCGATTGAAAGCCAATCGCGATAAATCCATGCGACTCAAGCAGTACATCACTATATAACCATACAGTACAAACACTATATGATCGTAGAGGACCTGCCAATATTTTCTGGATCTGTTGACCAGAGTAAATGTAAATTTACAGTCGAGATTATAACGAATTCATTCGTTGTGTTGAGAACTTGATGACCCTTATTCTCACAAAAATATTTGCTTTCTGTAATTGAGGAATGTCTGTCTTCCTGGCCATCTTAAGTTTAATTTCCTCCCGGAAGTGCTAGCTACTAGCTTCCTAAGTTATTCTTTGTTCGCCTATTCAAACTGTAGCATCAATAGTTCTCCGTAAATTCTCAACTTGTAAGATGTCCATGCAGAAGACGAGTCTTATTGTGAATTATATTCATGACCGCTTTGTGAATCTCTTTACTGTTTTACGAATGCACTGTTTTTGTGGATTACTGTATAACAGAACTCGTCCTTATAATGCTTCTTAGGTAATTTTGTCAACTTCATACTTCGTATAGTTGTTCACGTTGATATTCTCAGACTTTACGGAAGATGCTGAAGTTACCCATGACTTCTTGATACTAGAGCAACGTTCACCGAAAAGGCGCCCGTGGGCGCTTTGGGAGAGTACCAATACAATCACAGTTATATGTGTTCGAACTCAACTTTGCAATGCTTTAACATACACAATCTGTACCGAGAGAGCGAAAATTACTCTCCCAACGGATATATGCGTGTGTCCAACACAATCATAGCAGTTTGCATATGTATTGTACGAGAGACAGCTTTCCGCCATTGGCCGGTAAATTCTCAGAACAGTGTCCTTTGAATTGGAGATTATTCGTGTACCATGATGGGAGGGATGCACTTCTTCGTATATCTGTCAAAGTCCTCTGTGAAGATTCCGAGTAGGAGAAGGTCAGGGTGTTTCCATTGGGCCAACCAACTGAATACATAAAATTTGTCATTCCGTTTGCAACACATCGAAATATACACCAGAGACCCCATAAAGTATATCTATTCTTGATCAGAATAAAAATTTGTACTGACATTGCTATTATTCCTAGGATGGTTGCAATTACAAATGAGGTATATCGGCCCACGTTATGATATAGCCCCAATATAACGGTATCCCCAAATATTCGGTATTAGGGGGATTTTTGACACGTTTCACCCGATTTGGCAGTTTGCTTCTTATTGGGTATTAAATCTACCTACCGAAAAGGGTCAATATTCGAGGTTCTGGACACGCATTTCCACGGAATCAACTGGCTACATCTTACTATCTAATTGGTTGTAATTTGTTATGCTGGGTTGTGGTATTGTAGTACATTTTCCTACTAAAAATTCTCAATATTGGTCCACATTGTAGTGAAGCCCTAATATATATATATATATATATATATATCGCTACACCCAAAGATCGGTATTTTGGGGAGCTTGAGCACGTGTTTCAACCAAATTAGTTGTAATTTAATATTTTGCATTCTCATTGAATAGAAAATGTTCATACGAAAAATTATCAACATTGGTTCATGTTTCCGGTTACCACTAATATAATGGCAACTCCCATTATTCGGTTTTGGGCACGTTGTTAAATTTAATTGGCTCGAATTTAATTTTTAAAGGTTCTCATGGGGTGTCAAATCTTCCTACTAAAAATTATCAATATTGATTCACTTTTTAGGGAATACCCCCAATATAACACTACATCTCAAACTTCGGTGTTTTGGGGAGCTTGCTTCAACCAAATTAGCTGTAATTTTATATTTTGGATTCTCATTGAGTAGAAAATTTCCCCACCAAAAATGATATAATGGTGGCCCCCATTATTTGATACTTTGGGGGTTTTTTTGGTTTATCAAATTCTTTTGGGGTGTCTAATCTTTCTACCAAAAATGATCAATGTTAGCTTACGGTTTAGTATAGCTCCCATAGAACGGTACCATCCCATTTTCAGTTTTTGGAAGACGTTAGCCGCATTTTCCAACATATGGGGCTGTAATTTGGTATAAAAGATTTTGGAAAGATATAGGTCCATATTTTCATATAACCCTACATAAAAGTTCCGCTTCTTTTCCGGTAGTAATACATTTTCAACCAAGTTAGTAGGGGTAACACCCATAGTCAGTTTTGGTCCGAGGACATTAACACTGAGTGAGTGGTTAGTATAGCACCCACCTTCCTTATATTATCCACATTTTTCTAATCATTGCATAATTATGTGTGTCCCACTGTATCACTTAAAACGAGAGATTCTATTGAGATTGTCGTTAGGTGTTTTTTTTTTTGTTTTTTTTTATTCGGTTCAAGCTAATGCGACGTATTTTCCTTACACACTTCTTTGCTTGTTAGTGTTGTTGTTGCTGCCGCATTACTGGCACTGGGATGGACGTGTTGTTGCTGTGCTCTGTGTTAATTTTATATCAATACACGTGAAACAGTCCAGTCTGTTCGCCGTCAGCCAAGTTAGTCGTCATTCCGTCAGACATTTAGTCAGTCAGTCAGAAGTCGTCCAGCCACTCATTAAATGAGGCACTCACTCTGCTGCTGCTGCCTTGATATCTGCATACACGCATACACATGGCACCTTCATATGGATGCATGCACAAACATACATACGAACATTCAACCAGACATATTTACGAACAAAATGCGGTACGAAACGATGAAATGTGTGCTGGTGTTAATGTTGTTTGTGAGCTTTTTTTATTGTTATTATTATTTGCCCTGCTATTATTGTTGGTTGTTGTCGCAGTAACCGTCGTCGTTATTGGCGTTACTGTTGTCGCTGTCACTGCTGCTGCATGCAGGCAGCAAACACACTGTTGGGCAGTATGGTTGGTGTGCGTGTGTTTTGTGGTTTTCACCACACAACATGCTGCTTCACAACTGATAAGCTTTACGAAATCGTAAATGTGTCGCATTACTTTAGCTCTTCAAAACACAAATACGAAATAACAAAAAACGAAGCGAACTCGTGCCTCCTCCTCCCCCCAACCAGACCCAACAAACACAACCGTTGACCATCAAACTTCCTGCATAAAAATAAGCTTACGTTGCATCAGCTCGATTTCTACTTCTTTTTTTGGCCTGTTTGTAAGACCAATGGGTGGGGGGTAGTTGGTTGGGTCGCCAACAATGGTACCGAATGAGGTACTAATAGAACTAAAAATTGTACTCTTTTCAAAGAAAATAACGTGGGTTTTGGGCACCAAATGAGACATTTTGGGAAATAAAATTGTTCATACCACAAAATAGTACCTCGGAATATAGATGAATATACCCTCCACTCAAGTTCTCTCAATACAAGAGTGCCTCTCATTATTTAGTATATGGGTTGAAAATCGGCAATAATTTAGTATTTTGAAATCTTCCTACCAACATGTAAAAACGTCGTTAAGTTCGACCGGACTGTTTATACCCTCCACCTTAAACCGATATGGTATTCCAGGAGAAAATGAAATACCGAACTTCGAGCTCTCTATCGTAATTGTAACAGATAGACGGACAAACATCAATCTGTCAAATAGTACCCTTCAGAAAAAACACTTGAACAGTAGAGTTGTTGGATTCGAACAACAAGAGTACATCAATTACTCTCAAACCCACTGTTCGTTCCCAAATGAACATTCAAATATTTGTGCAATCATTTCTCAACCTTTTTCTGGTTTCGTTGATTTTGTTGTTGTTGCTGTAGTTTTTGGTTGGGTTTAAATTTCGTTCATGCACCGCTCATGCTTATGATGGCCTATGCAACACACTGCTGTAGTGATTTGAAAGCAGGGCAATGCGATAACCACAGCATGGACTTAAAAATGGTTCGTTGGTTTGGGTTTAAGTTGAAATTTGGTGTTATATACAGCAATGACATGCTGTTGTTGTTGTAGTTTTTGTTATTGCATTAGCTGCCATCAACATTACCAACGGCTGACGGACTGACTGTCTGGCTGGTTGACTCACTATAGCGATACTGCCACAAGCCACAAACAACATTCATTAATGCATTCACCTATTTTTTTCTTTTCGTTTTTCTTTTACAGACACGTACCTCCGATTTCGATGGCAGCGAATACTGCAATATCAGCGCTGAGGATGTTAAAACCGAAATTGTAAGTTTCTTCTGAATTTGTGTGTGTTTGTTTGTATTTTTTGTCTTCTTTCGAGTTTTAACTTTAACTCGACTTCTACCTTTTTATTGTGTATCATCGTCGTCGTCGTTGTTGTTGTCGTCTTTGGAATGGATGTTTACAGCTCTGATTGCCGCTGGTTGCCTTGGCTATTAAGTAAAGTTTTATAGGCTTGTAAACATGCATTTAAATGTTGACCGTGTTGTATGGCTTACTAATGACTTCAAGCCACCACCACCACCACCAACCATCATCATCGGCAGCAGCAGCAACTTCAACACCAAGACAACAACAATGTTTGGTTTCAGGAGATTAGTCCCAAATTTCATTTTATTGCATCAATCAAATGGGCCAAATTCAGAATAACTTTCTATTTTAATTTAATAGTGAATTTCTACCAAATTTCCACAATGATTTTGTGTTGAAATAGTATTTCCAATATTTGCATATGTAATGCTGTTGTTATTTGAACGTGCCACAAATGTGAAGAGATCACAATATATGGGATATACCAAAAAATTGAATCATAATGAAAAAGACATTTCCACAATTTTCTAAAAAAAATATCATAGCTAATTTGCTTGAAACACGTGTCCAAGCTTCCCAAAATACAGAAATTTGGGATGTAGCGCTATATGGGGGATTCCCTCAAAAGTGAACCAATATTGTCACGTTTACTAGGAAAATTTGACACCCCATGAGAAGCAAATTAGTGCCAATTCGATTAAAAAAAATACCGAATAATGGGGGCTACCCTAAAACGTGGGCCAATGTTGATAATTTTTGGTAGCGACATTTACTGCCCAATGAGAGTCCAAAATATTAAATTACTTCCAAATTGGATGGAACACGTGTTCAAGTCCCCTTAAAATACCGAACTTTAGCGTGTAGCGTTATATGGGGACTTACCTAAAAGGTGGACCAATATTGATAGTTTTTAGTAGAAAGATTTACTACCATACGACAACCCAAAATAACAAATTACAACCAATTATATAGAAAAATGTGCCCAAAACCGAAGCTTTGGGGTAACTTTATATGGGGACTACCCAGAAACATGGGTCAAAATTGATTATTTTTTGTAGGCACATTTGATAACCGAAGTGAATCCAAAATAACAATTAACACCTGATGCTGTTGAAAAACATGTCTAAAACTTTAAAAATACCAAAAAGTCGGGGCACCGTTATACGGGGGCTACCCTAAATACCAGATCAATATTGATAATTTTCGGTTGGAAGATTTAATACCCAATGACGTAGACGAATATTACAGCCAATTCGGTTGAAAAAGTGCCAAAAATCCCCATGATGCTGAATAGTTGGGGGTATCGTTATATGGAGGTTCTATGGACCCATATATCTCACTGGTAATATCAAACATCATAGGAGTGATAGCAATTCCAGTGCAAAATTTCAAGCTCTATCTTAAAAAGTGCGATATCTATGGTGAATTCAACAGAGGGACAGACAGACATAAAATGTTATTCTGATCAAAAAAATAAATAATATATGGGCAATATTGCCAATTTTTTAACATAGCTGAAGCGGAGGTTCACCCCTTTATAACTCGGGAATTACTTAAGTATATGAAAGAAAGTGAATAGTTTTATGTTAATTGATCTGTCGTTGCAAACTGCTCATGATATCGACCTCCAAACTTTATTTTGGTGGAAGCTGTGTCTACTTTAATGTAAAAAAATGTGTAAAAACACGTTGAGGCGAACCAGTTTTTTTATGTTCACTATCGACTTGTGATTAAGCCACTCATTGCACGGTCTTCGTGTCAAAGTAAAACTAGAAGCCAACAAAATGGGGACTATGCCCCTTATGTATCATTTTTCAAAATTTTAACTGTATCTACCTTTAAATGATGCTGACATTTTGAAGCTCGATTTTGAGTGTTTTTTTAATTTTACTTCTAGCTCTAATACGCAAACAGGAATTTATAAAAATCGATTTTAAAATTATTGTAGTCGCGATTCTGCGTAATTTGATATGTATTTTTTGTATGTAGTATGCACAGCTTCAGAGTAATACTCATCCGAAGGTGCGAATTTTGTGCGATCAAATTTCTAAAAAACCTATTTTTCGGGCCAAATTTTTAGATCTGCCAACTGAATGATATGGGTACCCGCGATCAATAAGGTTTTTTACGTTTCGGATGATATAAAATCTTCTTCGTGAAAATCCATCTACTAGAACGGCGGGAACTGGCCTTCCAAAAACACGAAATTTGACAACAAATGTTTTTGAAAATATCGCGGATTTAATTGCATTTTCTATGGACCATTTCCGCTTCAATAAGTGACCTCACACGGATTTTGATCTTTTTCGAAAAGAGAAATTTAAAAACTTCAGCCGAAAGAGAGATGTACCCAATTTATCTCAAAAATAGTGTGAGCTGGCACATCCATGGTTCTTAATGGACCACATTGAAATTGGTATAGATCGATGTATTTTTTTAGGGTGCTCACCGAAATCGGATGCGCGTTAATGGCATATGGAGTTTTCGGAAATTATTCGCGTTTTACGATTTTTTGGGTACTTCAATGTAACGTGCGGCACATCTTAGCCGTCAAATGAAATTTCGCAAAATATATATGGATTGGAAGATAAACCTCAGTACTTCCTGGAAACCGCATGCGCATCAAATGATTTTGAGAATTACGCGATTTAGACGCAATTTATCTCAAAAATAGTGTGAGCTGACACATCCATGGTTCTTAATGGACCACATTGAAATCGGTATAGATCGATGTATTTTTTTAGGATGCACACCGAAATCGGATGCGCGTTAATGGCATATGGAGTTTTCGGAAATTATTCGCGTTTTACGATTTTTTGGGTACTTCAATGGAACGTGTGGCACATCTTAGTCGTCAAATGAAATTTCGCAAAATATATATGGATTGGAAGATAAACTTCAGTACTTCCTAGAAACCGCATGCGCATCAATTGATTTTGAGAATTACGCGATTTACACGCAATTTAAAATGTATGTTTCATAATATTACTTTATTTTAAGATTTATTCCTATTTATAGAATTCTAAGATTTATCGGAAGGGTCTTGATATAATCCGCAAGGCGTATACTTATACACAAAAGGTGATTATTATTATATATGTCAATTTTTCAGCGAAATTCGGGTAAAATAGAAGAATAACCCCAACATTTTTTTCTCAAATTTCTTGTATAAAATTAAAAAATAAATATGATGACATAATTTCTTCGAACCAAAAACAAATATTTTTCCTCAATATCTTGTTTTGTTGTCGGTGTAATTTACAAACCGCTACACGGACTTGTGTGATTTTGATATCATTTGATTCATCATGGTGTTTAGATTATGTAGATATTTTTAAATTATTTTTTAGGTGTGTGTATGTCATTAATATAATGAAAATATTGACGTAATCCCCTATATTTTTATTATTTTTCTCATATTTCGCGAAGATGTGCAACATTTTCCCGATTATTATAATATATTCATATTCTCATTTTACGGAGGAAGATATATATCAACGTTTTTGGCCAATATAATAAACGGCGTAATTTTAAGATTTTTTTCTTATGCCCAAAATTAAAACCTCGATAACTTTTGCGCGCATCAACCAAAAATTTGATCGCGAATGGTTTCGGAGTCAGAACATTTTTCTCTATATGTGTACAAAAAATCATTGATGTGCCACAAAAACAAAAAAGCTGATTTTTTGAAAATGGAATATTAAAAAATTGGCAATATTGCCCATATATATATATATATAATGACAAATTTAGTGTGCACTCTACCTTTTGGTGGAGGGTATAAACTAGTGTACAAAAGCGTATCTGCTAGTCCAAACCAATACCAGAATCGGTTCAGATTTAGTTATATTTTATATATTTTCGTCCGAATTTATGTAATTGTTTCACTGAAGATCAAACGTTTGTTCGACTTACACGAATTTTCGCACATGATACTGAATTGGGTCTTGAATAGTATTAGTTAAGTTTTGTTGAAATCGGTTCAGGTTTTTTATGTTAATAAATTTGTTTGACATATTGGAGAGCGGCCGAATGGTGTCTAGGATTACATGGCCTACGTTTTCTTCAAATCAGCTCAGATTTAGATATAGCTTCCATATATACAATTTAAACAGATTTCATGCAAATGGGAAAAAAACAATGCAAGACAGCTCAGGTTCGAACATCAATTCGCGTTTATGTACAAGCCTCATGTAATGATACCACACTCCCAATATTCGGTATTGTAATTTGCTTTTTTTTAATTTTTTGCCAAAACTGGTCACAATTGGTCTCTGACTTCCCGATTTGTTATGTTGAAGATTTTCGACCCATTTTTCAATATATGTATTTTGAGGGTTTTGGTCACATTTTACAATCGATGTGACTGTATTGAGATATTTTTGAGATATATAAGATTCATCGGTATTGAACTAAAATATAATTTTCAGGCATTTCAGTCGGAAAACAAGTAAAAAAACCATCAATTTTTACTTGTTTTCCGACTGAAATGCCTGAAAATTATATTTTAGTTCAATATCTAGTTAGGGACCTAGGTTACAAAGGTTCCCTTCCTTGCAGCACTTATACAAAAGCAACCTGCAATCTGCTCGTCTTGAAGACTCCCTGGCGTAAACCTCGTCTCTAAAAGCTCCCCGCTCTTAAGAGACTTTCTGCACATTTGCTTCGCAAAAATCTTCTTGTCTTTCAGCTGGACTATTAAGACTATCTAGGCTTTAGTGTAGATTCTTTGAACTGCAAAGCCTTTATGTCGTTTAAGTTATCTACAAATACTCCCAATTCATCAGATCTTCTTTATAAACACCCAGGTCTTCGGCTGAGTTATAAAGACTGGTAATATTATAAAGGACACAATAGTTACTTCTTTTAATATTTTATGAACCTTAGCTCGGCTTTAAAGACCCCCCGACCATATACTGGCATATTAAACGTATCAAAATTGATTCCATATTATGATGCCTTCCGATTATAAATATTTGAGTTTCTTTTTGGACAAATTTTATATTCGAATTATCAAAGACTGACATTAACTTCATTCGGGACAAGTTTTCTTTTTTGCAAATTTCTCCAATTACTCAAATTCTCCATTTTGTACAACAGAATTTGGCTTGCATTTCAAAAAATAAAAAAATAAATTTAAATGCAACATAAATTGATAGGAAACATTTACATTTTACAAATATTATCAGCAGTCACTTGAAATGATTATAAATGTACTTGTTATATAAGAAATAGTTGGAGACGGGGGTTGGACGAATTAAAACTAAGTGAAATTTATGATATCTTGAATTTCAGCACATAATCCGATATGCAATATTCTTTTCTTTATTAAGATTCTCCCTTCGCTCAGCAGATATTTGTGATGCAAAAAATCATGATGGCGATGATAATGTTTGTTTGGAACTGTTATGAGTTTCGTTACGAAATCCTAGCATGGATGGCATTGCTCTGTTTAAAAATTATAATTTTCTTAAGTGCTTTTTCACTCCCACACCATTGTGCTGACACAATTCTAAATTATTTTTATATTTTGCTCATCTTTCGTTTTTCTTTTTCTTATTTTAATCTATTCAACAGTTTGAAAGTGATTCCAACGACTTGGCTATGCTTGAGAGCACACGCACTTCCACTCCGGTACCACTGAATTATCACAAAAATGCCACTGACTTGACAATGCAACGCAATGTTAACGGCACCGGCTCCAGCAATGACAATCCTCTAGGTGGTGTTACTGGTGGCATCAACTCGAGCACCACCACTAGCAGCAGTCGCAAACGTAAAGCTCATATCCATTCGAATGCAAATCATACCATGGATGGTGATGCACCATCCCCCTCTAAATTATTACAACAACATTCCAATGCTATACACTCCAGACAATGTGATTATTTGAACAGCAGCATAAATGGCGGAGCAGGATTCTCGGCCAATAATATCAGCAACAGCAATAACAGTCATCATCATCATCATAATGCCTCCAACAACAGTGCCGGGGGCTCGAATCCATCGGCAAGCGGCTCCAAGTCAAGCAGCACCCCAATTGACGAATATGGTGTATTCGGTGAATATGTGGCCATAACCATACGCAAACTGAAAACGTCCAAAGCCAAAATTGTTGTCAAACATTTGATTAATAATCTGCTGTATGAGGCTGAATTGGGCAAATATGATCAGGGTATACCGGCGTGTAAAGAACCACCAGAACTCTATAAAATGTGATATGTTCTAATAAAAAAAAACAAAAACAAAAAATTATTGTTTTTAAAATTTCAAAATAAAGACAAAAAAGTTACTTCGCAATACAAAAGAACAAAAATTCATAGGAAATTATAATTTACACAATGTCTAAGTCCATTAGCCAATGCGAATAACATCTTCAAAATATTGAACTCCACCACCTCATTTAAAATGGAAACAATTATTACCTTGCTTAAACAAATGTTACCTTGAACACTAGTCAATTTGTGTTTCAAATTATAATCAGGGATAAATAAATGAAAAAAGTAAATAATAATAAAAATCTAAAAAAAAGCAACAAGAAAATTTAAAATTTAAAAAAATTAATGAATTATGTTTTTTATTTAAACAAATTAATTAAAAACTCCATAAAGAGTAAAGAATTAAATTATTTTATTATTCATCTTTTTTGTTTTGTTATATAACTACCAATTATATAAATACATACATTTAGATTTACATACTAATGCTACCTATTAATTAATTAATTTAAAATATGAAAAAACAATATGATCGAATAGTGGTGAGTTTATATAATCGGACATTTTATAATTAACACTCAACCACTATTCGTACAACTCAGGTGCCTTTTTTGTTAGTCATTTAAGTTTTGTTAACTCTCTATGCCCGCTAAATGAAATTCACGGGAAGGAGAGATTGAAATATAAGTACCTTATGTTATAAATATACGATACCTTATCCATGAAAATGAAAATAATACTTTTCCTTTTGGTTTTTCTTCAAATGTTTTATGTTCTTCACTTAATTTTCTTATTTGAATCTTATCATCTATATGCATACTTACATACCATTGTAATAATTATTATTAATACTTTAAATATGAATATTATTAAATAAAATATTTAGTTGTATGTAATTGTTACTTAATCTTTAATAAAACAAACAGAAACACTTGTTCCAAAAGAAAATGTGATGTTTTTTTTTCTAAATAATCATGATAAAATTCGTAAGTATATAAAGAATGTTCGTACGGCTATTTTGTCCAAGCCAGAATTAGGAATCACTGGCAAATTGCAAAAAGCGTGAACAGTTTTTTATTGAGCTCAAATAGTGAACATAATCCCTTAACACTATTGTTCTTAGAAATTGTGACATACTGTGGTACAGTGTATTATGTCTTTGTACATATGGGAAATTATAAAATTCTTTTAAAATTCCATAAAAAAAAAATTGAAAAAATTTTTTCCGAGCACATTCATGATTTTTGGTACATAGGTTAAGGAAAATATGCTGATTCAAAGTCTATTCTCGTTCTCAAATTCGGATGCTGCGCACTAAAGTAATAGCGGTTTTAAATCATGTATTTCAAATATAAATTAATTTAATTCCTATTTGTTGTAATTCACGAATTTCTTCACAAATGGTTAAACACATTTGTTTTCTTTGGATACTAGTCAAATCACATTGAAATACGGTTTAATAGTCGCGAAAAACAAATAAAAGCTTGAAAATGTCTGAAAAACAATTAATTTTTGAATTGCCACAAAATGCGTTTTCAATTTTTGATTTTTTGGTATGGTTAAGATAATACGATTTAGTCTAAATCTTCTACAACACGTGACGATTTCTTCTAAAAATTATTTTAGACGATTGTTAAATATCGCTAGATTCCTCTGTTAAGAGTTTTGACTTTAAAAATTACCAAATACATTGCAGTTACAGTATATGAAAATGATCAACATTAAAAAGCATACAGTTCGCGTATTAGTCGAAATCAGTTGATGCGCATACGGTTTTCGTATAAACCGAATAAATCTCTTCCAATAATTATGAATTTTTCGAGGTTTCATTAAGCGACCAAAGTTTGCCCCTCGATGCACTTTATTATGCAAAAACCCTAAAAATGACTAAAAATTGCGCAACGTGCAACGTGCCGATTTCAGTAATCTCCTATGAATATATACAAAAGGACACCTATTTTAAAAGGATCGGTGAAGAACCGCGGATGTACCTCCACAATCGATTTTGCATAAAATACGCATATTATGCGCGTATAGATATATTTTTGACCTATTTTCATACAGATTCGCGAATATGATAATCAATTCGAAGGAACCCGCGATTATATACGCGAATTTGTCAAAATAAGTTTTTGCAATTTTTCCCACATTCAAGGTACCTATATCCGCCGTTTTATTGGGCGGAATTGAACATGGATGGGCTCATTAGATCCGGCACGTAAAAACTAAAATCACGCGGGTTTCCACGGAATTTAGACTCAAAAAATATGTTTTTTATAAAAATTTACGCACCAAATTTTCGTCTTTGGAACCCAATTGCAAAGAAGCTACGGTGAGCACATTCATGAGATATATACTAAACGAACAAAATCACGAGTTCTACAATCCTATAATTAGTTTAGTTCATTATCTGGATGCGCATCATAATTATAAGAAAAATTCAAAAAAAAAAAAAAAAACACAGAAAATCCGGCTTCAAAATGTCAGCATCCATTTTGGGTGGATCCATTGATTATATAGAAAAATCATACATTAGAACCATATTGTCCATGGGGTATTCTGCAACTTAGTCACTGATCACATGTGCGTGCGTTGTGTAGTTTAGCCACAAATCAGGAAGGAACACAAAAAAACTCGTTGGCTTCAACACATTTTCACCCATATTTTTACATTACCACCATCACAGCTTCCACGCAACTTATTATTTATTACCAATATTTAAAAATTTTGGCAAAAACACTTCATTTTATAGAAATGAATTTAAATTATATGCAATATGTTAATATTTCGCGAGTTATAATCTCAGTTATATATCTCAGTTTCAAGGAATTTAAAAGATTTTTGTAATTTCCGATATGTTTGCAACAGGCAAAAGTAATCGTGATAGACCCATGAGAATATGCATAAAATCACATTCTGAATCGATTTATGCATGTCCGTCCGTCCATGCATTTTTGTGAACAAATGTCACCAATTTGTCACTAATTTCACCCTATTGAAGAAAATCGGTTCAAATCTAGATATAGCTCCCATGTCTATATTCGTCCGATTTTTTGTAAATAGTGTACCAAAGTCCCTATATTTCTTCCGATTTGCACGATATAACTCCCATATTGATTTTCGTCCGATTTTAGGTAAATGGTGCACAAAACTCATAATGTTTGTCCGATTGATACGGAATTTTGCACAACGTGTCAAATTGAGACTACAATGACGTTGTTGTGTTTTGTTGAAATTGGTGCAGATGCAGACTTAGATCCATAGATATTTAGAACGGTGGCATACCAAATATCGTGTATCAAGTTTGCTTTAAATCGATTTACATACATATGTCAGATTGTACGCAAACGACTCTAAATCTGCCCGAATGAAATGAAATTTAGCAAAGGTTGCAGAAAGTCATTGCACGGAATGGTTCACTTCACTTATATATAAAGATCACATATTTAATTTCGTTCAATTTCATGTTAATTTTCCTTCGAAAAGGCGACGTCTGTTGGGATACATATGTACAATATACCGAAAGTGGTGAAGGGTATTATATAGTCGGTCCTGTCAGACTTTACTAATTTCCTTATTGGTTTTTATTTAACACTAGTTTCCTGAAGACGGTCATTTTGACCGTTTTTGAATTTCAAATACAAAAACAACTGTGTATATAATGACACAGCTTTTTAAAATTTGGTGACTTTTTTATAATAAACGTAGTTCTATATGGTACAAAACGACACCAGATTAAAAAAAGTGTCATTATATGTTTTTGTAAATGAAATTGAAAAACGGTCAAAATGACCGCCTTCGGCAATCTAGTGTTAAATATTAGTTATATAGCAGACTGATTTTATATTCTTCAAATAAGGCTTTAAAATCCTTCATCATAGATACAAGTTGAAATGTCATTATGTTCGGCCAGACCAAAGTTTTTATATCCTCTTCTCTGGACATTCATCCAGTAAGGACAACATCCAGTAAGATTTTGCAAAAAATATGCATAAACAAATTTGTCGGCGTACGCGTTTTTCCTGAGGAAAATGCGACTAAATTCTTCCTATGAATATGAAATATGAATGAAATACCATATATGGTTTTGTCCGATTTTATGTAAATCGTGCACCAAAGTCCTTTTAAATCTTTCGATTTGCGCGAAATTTGGCATAGTGTACTGAATTGAGTCTAGAATGATGTCTGCTAAGTTTTGTAAAAATCGGTTGAGATTTAGATATAGTTCCCATATATATTTTCGTCAGATTTAAACTGAACTGCGTCTAGAATGATGTGTATTAAATTTCGTGAAAATCGATTCAGATTTAGATATAGCTCCCATATGTATTTTGTTTCGATTTTATGTAAAGTGTGCACTAAAAACCCAAATTTGTACGATTGACACACAATTTTGTTGAAATCGGTTCAGGTTTTGATATAGCTCCCATTTATACTTTCGTTGGATTTTAGGTAAATGTTGCCCCGGTTGACACGAAACGTATTAAATTTAGATTATAATGACGTTATAGTGTAAGTGCTCCTAATGTCGGCATGTATCAGTACTCGACATCAGCTGTATATAACTTAAAATAACTAAAAACCAGTGAGCGGAGCAGTATAGTCGGCCCCGTCCGACCATATGATACCCTACACAACTTCCACGAAAATCTAACTTTCTGTGATACTACATTCTGAGATTGGGCAATATTTCGCGATATTTGCACCCTCTTGATCGACTAGAGACCAACAAATATTAATAATATCCAGTACATCTCTTCTAATTATTTGCCCCGATTCCTTTCACCAGATGTTGTGTTGTGATGTTCGGCTTTCAATTGTGGCCTATAGATCAACTCGAAAAAACACAAAAAATTAAGTTTTCAGTCCACTTCATCCCAATATTATTAATTGGTTATCACCGAAAATTATAGGCGTTGTCCTTGACCATACCTGGATCCTCTTGGAAAATTTCTTAACAATCCTCTTGGATATGCTATTAACTTTTCGGGTCTTTGTTCTTCAG